AAAAAAACCAACATTAAAGATGCTCGTATAATATCATAATATGATTCGATTAATATGAATATTTTAATACGAACAAATAAATTGATGCTCTGGCCCTGGAAATGCATGATATTCAATAAAATTTTTACTTAAATTTAATGAGAAAAAAAAAAAATAACGTTAAAGATGCACGTATAATATCATAATACTTTGAGAATGCATGATATTCAATAAAAGTTTTACTCAAATTTAATGAGAAAAAAAAAAAACCAACATTAAAGATGCTCGTATAATATCATAATATGATTCGATTAATATGAATATTTTAATACGGACAAATAAAGTGATGAGAAAATTTACATGAGAATCTTATACTGATTGAGAGAAAAAAGAGAAGCCAAGTTGAGGCATAGGATTGGGTTTCATTTAAAGTAAAGAGAGGACGGCTTTGGATTTTCACAATTACTCCCCCCCTCCAAATGAATCCAACATTTTGCTATCATCCGTCACATTCACATTTATCCTTCTCAACAACCACCCTCTCTCTCTCTCTCTCTCTCTCTCTCTCTAATGGGATATGCAACTATGATGCTGTGGTAAAGGAGACTTAGGATTACTAAAATATATATATATATATATATATGCATGTAGAATGTTAGGCCAAGCTCTTTATAGTGGTTCAGCTCATAATTAATAATCTTTTGATTAAAATTCTCATGTGTACATATTCTGTTTTCTTTTCAGATAAACAAAGACAAGTCACTTCAAAAATCATAATCATTTCAAGTTCTCTAACACCATCCTGTTTGGTTAACAGTTTTTGAATTTTTCAGTATATTTTTTTAATATTTTGATCATTTTTTATTTTTCAAATTCACTTAATCTACATATTTTTTTTAAAAAAAATAAAATAAAATATTTGGGAATTTTTTGTAAATTTTTTTTACTAAATACGAAATATATATGCAAAAAAAAGTAAATTTTTATATTTTTTTGTATTTATTTTTAAAATTAGATTTATTCACAAACATTTTATTTTTTAAGTGCATCTAGATTATGGCGGTGTTTGGCAAAAAAAAATTTGGATTTTTTTGGATTTTTTCCACTAAATTTTTTTTTGCAAAACCAAAAAAGATAAATCCAAACAAAATATCACATCAAACTCCATAATCATTTCACTTTTTCTCTTACAAACATCACATCCAACTACAAAAAAATCCAACTATCTTTTCAAAAATAAAAAAAAAAAATTCTCCAATAATATCTTACAACTATAAAAATTTACATAAAAATCCATTTCCCAAAAACCCACTACGTGTATTGTTAAAAAAAATAACTAAAATGTTAAAAATATTAAAAATAAAAAAGTTCAAAAACTTAAAAGCTGTTTTAAAAATTCTCAACTAAATTTATGTTTGAAAACCTTCCTTGTGGTTAAAAACTATTTTTAAAAATTGTCAACCAAACTTTCCTAGTGTAGGGTCCACGTCAATAATATTAGGAAAAATTACACCTCTGTCCCATTTTTCAAAAATAAGTACATGTTGATAAAAAAGTTTAACACTTTAATAATTAAATTTCATAAACTTTACCACTGATTTTTTTTCAAATTCACACTGAATTGTTGATTAATGATAAGGATATCACTTCTTGACAAAAAAACTTTTAGGCTAAATTTGCATAGTTGAGGAGTGAGTAGTTATCTCTATATCTATTGTTACTTTTTTTTATTATAGTAAGATCGTAGTGACTATGAATGAAATCATAGTTTTGGAGTCCTTTGTGTTCTTTTTATATGTATATGTATTATTTTTATACATTTTTAAAAAAAAAAATTTATGTTTCATTTCATATTTCATCGATCCTAATTAAGTGTTACAAATTTTTAATAATCTATTACACAATATTTTTGAGTAATAAAATATTGTAAATAGAATTAAGTATAAACTTTTTTTTTTTTTAATACTAATTCCACTACCACATTCTCATTGGTGAATGATACCACTATGTTGAATAATAAGCAAGTCTAATGCATAATTTTAATTAGAGATAAAATTAGACATTTAATAATAAATTATTATACTTTTGGCAAGAAATTATTTTGTCATAAAGTACATTTATTAGTGACACATTCAAATTTTTGTCAATAAAAGTCTTTTTTTCTTTTTTCTTTTCTTGAGACGGCCTTTTTGTGACTACTCACATAATGACTGACTGAAATTGATCTCCTAAAATTTTTTATCTTAAAAACAAAAATCTTTAGCCTCCAAAATTCATATATGTTGTAGTGAGCGTAGATGGTTACAGGTGGAATGGGGATTGCAAAGGTGATTGCCGCGGGATTGGAGAACTACATGATGGTGGTTGCGAGGTGGGGGACGTGGTGGCTATTTGGCTTCTCTATATGTGACCCTATAGGAAGGGAGTAGAAATGAGAAGCTGAAAAACGCAATAGTAATTAACACATCACCTTTGCAAGGACAGATGGGGGGCCAAAAAAAACCATACAAAGATAAGTGGGGTTAGATTTAAAGCAACGAATTTTCATACAATTAATGATTATGATTTTTCATGTTATTAATTGAAAATGGATAAGTTCTCATTTTTATTAAATATTTAATGTAACAGTAATATTACATGCACTGCAAAAAAAAATAAATAATGATAATATAAGAATAATATTACGTGAATCGTAGCCCTACAAGTTCATGCATACAGATTCTTTCACAATGTGAAAGAGATCAATCAAAGTAGGACAATTTAAAAAAACATAGAAAAGAAAATTAAATAAGCGGGGTATCCAAAAAAACTTCAATAAATTCAGAAATCTGAACCACCATTTAAGGCCAGCACGGAATATATGAGTCTAACATTTACTCCAACCCATTTCTTCTTCTTCTTCATCCCTCTCTCTCTCTCTCCGGCCGGCAGTGGCGGAACGGAAATAGATAGATGAATCTCAGGGAGATTTTGGGGATTGTGACATTCAATCTGATATGCATATAAGATGACAAATAAAAGGGCCTACCACTCTCTTTAATTGCAAAAAATAGATTTCTATGTCCCATTTTTTGTTTTTTAAGTCATGTCCCCATCTTACCCTTTAACGGTTGGAGGCTGGCATTTCCTCCAAATTTAATTCGTTGCTTTTCTTTAAAAGACAAAACCAATTCAAACTGAAGGTTTGGTTTGATTTTCTGAATGATCGGTTTGATTATGATTCTCAAAATGAACGGTTTATGTTAATAGTCTCAGTTTAGAATCGAACCAAATCGAACTATGTATAATATAACAATACTATATACTCAAAAAATTTATTTAGAAAAATACTTAGAGTAGTACATCTATGAACTATAATCATGATATGTGTGACTCACATCTCACAAACTTTAAATCTACATTACTTACCTCATTTTCATAGTAACTTTTAAGGTAAACTTGCATGGTTCATAACATTTTGGGGCATATTATACCCTACCATAACTCTACTATTACTCAATCACATCACTCCATTTTTATGGTATTTGGATATTAAACTTTACGTTGTTCTTCGTGTATTAGTTTTAGACTTGATTTTTTGATTGGCAATTGGAATATACATCAAGTTTCTATAGTCTCGAACCCTGGTTTCAAACCATAATCAAAGTGATTTGGTTTGGTTTCATAGAATTTTAGGGCAAATTACATATACCCCTCGAGGTTTGGCTAAATTACAAATACCCCCCGAGGTTTGAGAAATTACGAATTTCCCCCTGAATGCTATATTTGCATAAGAAATTAGGAGGTAATTTGTTATGAAATATAAACCTCAGGGAGCAAATTGTTATGAAAATACAAACCTCAGGGGGCGGGATGTAATTTCTGAAACCTCAGGAGGGTATCTGTAATTTAGCTAAACCTCGAGAGAGGTATATGTAATTTGCCCTAGATTTTATGATCAGATTTGATTCTAAAATTTCTATAACCGTAGAATGCAGGTTCTATATATTTTTTTAAAAGAGTTGGGCACCCATTAATAAATTTAAAATAATTATACATTTATCGTAGAGTGAAATAGGTAAGAAATGTATAATCATTTAATGTTTTGTTCATTTGTGGCCAGTAAAAAAATCCATGAGTAAAATAAATGTTGATGTTCACATTTCATGACTGCTGAGTGAACCTTAAATTTTGCAGCCCCCACTCAAATTTATATATGCATACTACTTGTTCCTATTTAGTCATGTTTTTAATTCTATTTTTCACTTCATTTTCTTTTTCACTGTTCGCCTAAGATTCAAATGGGAAAAGACTTGCATAGATACCTAAATACCGATGCGAGATGCTTTGGGGAGCTGAAAATAACTCCAGATCCAAATATTTTTGAATAGGTCAACTTTTCAAACTACTGTTGAATCCATAGGTAGACATAGAAAAATGTTACATATTTCTCATGAAATATTTTTATCACTAGACACAAATGACACTTTTATGAATTAGTTACTTGTGATTTGTGTTTCGCTTTGCTACTTTTAAATAACTTCATCAGCAAGCACAAGTTAGGAAAATCCTTTTTTGTGATCAATGAGTTGACAAAGCTCAACTAAGCCAGTTTTCTAACTCATTAGCACTCAAAGTTGTTTTAGAGGAACACATTTTCAAAAAAAAAATATTTTAGAAAATATTTTCTTATATTTGGTTTTGGTTGCAACTATTTTCTGGTTGTCAAAACTATTTTCACATATTTTCTTATATACCAAACAATTTACATAAGAGAGAGAGAGAGAGAGAGAGAGAGAGAGAATAAAATAAGTAAATTTATATTTGTACCATAATTTATTTGTCAGAAAATATTTTCTGTAATGGCATCATCAAGAGTGAGGAGGTTGGGATGAGTACTTAGGTTTTGAAGGACAATCCCATAATGTAAGGCAGGCGGCTATCACTTCTGAACCACATAACCAACACACAAACAAACAAACAAACAAAAAAGCATATGAGCTCTCTCTCTCTCTCTCTCTCTCTCTCTCTCTCTGCGCATATGAGAGAGCATATGGTTAGGCTTTTTGAGAAATGTCCCACACAAACAATTTCCACAAAATCTTTCAATTTCTACTTCACTATCCATAGATTAAAAAAAGGCAGTCACTATATTATAAAATAAAAATACATGAAACTTGAGAAGTAGACAACAATTTATCCTTGAATAAGCCCCAACACTGATGAGACAATATGCAGAGATCCAGTAACTACGATGATACCAGATTGATCATCCCCTGCTGTTCTTGCTCTGAGAATTTTATTACCGACCCTCATGGCGTCCATTAATGACATCTCAGCAGATAGTATGGTTTTGCTTTCCAGTTCGTTTGCAGAGTGAACCGATTGATCCTCCAATAACTTCCGGCAGACTGTAACTCCATAGTCGAGAATATTAATGCCCGCTTCTTTAGAAGCCTGGATCCAACTATCCTTTAATAATGATGCTGGAGTCATTCGAGCCTTGTCTCCAGCAATGTCCACTTCTGTCAGAAAGATCGCCTCCAATTTTTTCACTGAAAGAAAGTGGTAAAACCTAAGTTAGAAATTTATTGAAAATATGAGAGGATTGCGATGTACGCTGATAGAAGCACCACTCCATTCAACAACCTCAGATACATGATTCCTTGTTGCAATGAGGAATCATGGTAGTGAAATCATGTGCAAAGTTAAACCTATACTGAAACTCCTCCACCGCTTGAACCAAAGTTTCGTTTGTTTCGGCAGAAAACATATTTCAAGAAATATTTTTCCTACTTGGTTGTGTCCTTGAAACTAATGTACTAGTGGTTGTATTGGCGGTGGTGGTGGCGGTAGCATGGTGTGGTGGCATTAATAAGACTCTATTCTGGAAAACATTTTCCATCCAAATAAACTTGTTTTCCATTGATCACGGAAAGTGTTTTTCGCTCACTATCATTTCCATTGTACCACATGTAAAAAATGTTTTTCACCCTAACAAACAAAATGCAAGTTATTTGCTAATCTCTAAATCACATAAGCTCTAGCTAAGCTTCATGTTCCCATTTTATTACTCCCCAAACTCAGGAAGTACAACTATATATATAACTATACCAAACATATAGAGAGAGAGAGAGAGAGAGAAAAGGATAAAAATATGCCTGACAGTAGTTCTCTGGCAAAACCCAAATGGTCTTTGTCACTTGCCATTGCAACCACAAGAACCAATTTTGCCTTCGGAAATGTCATCTGAATTGTATCAGCCAAAGCTTTGGCAGAGTCCTTGGTATGTGCTGGAAAACATAAATCATATCAGCTATAACCCTTAAAATTTCATTTATAAAAGATTGAGGCTGTGTTTGGATCTTTGATATTAGCCCCTAACCAACCCTTACAAATTTCGTTTATAAAAGATTGAGACTGTACTGTGTTTTTGGATCTTTGATTTGATGACGGATTTGTGAAGGGAAAAGAAAAGGTAGGGAAAAGTGGAAAAAAAATAATCTTATATTCCTTTTTCTTTTTGTCCTATAAATTCCTCCGCAAATCCAAGATCCAAACATAGCCTGAAAGACAAAAAAGTTTATATGGGCCGCATCCCCTTGATGCTCGTTCATACAATTATTTTACTTGACAAAAATGAGAGTAAAAAAAAGAGTGTAACTTGACAAATTTTTCTTGAGTAGCATGCACAGTGCACAAAATTTAGGTACACCACATAGACATCTCCATAAGGGGAAATCAAACCAAATCTAAACAATACATAGAAGAAAAATAAAAATAAAAATAAAAATGAAAAGTTTCCAATCAATAGATGTGTATGCTTCTATTGACAAGCACAAGATATAGGTTCAGCTTATAATAAAGGCACTAATAAGGAAGACATCCGAATCAAACCTCCATCAATTAATATAGTTGCTCCAGACAGGCCTAGTGCCTCAGCTTCCTTTGATTTTAAAAACTGACTTCTCCCAAGCAAATATGTTTGCTCTAAACCAGAGCGAATGGATACATCTGAAATTGTCCAACCTGAAATTCCCAGTAAATCACCAAAAAGATTAATCAAACTCAACAATGTTTCATTCGAAGTCAATTGAGGTTGGCTACGAGAAATATTTTTTGCCATTTTCCATATCGTGAGCAAGGCTACTGATGCCATGCGAAGGTAAAGATCGTTCTCAAGAGGAGAATCCAGATTCAAAACATGGGCAACAAAGTCATCAAAACAGTAGTAACTTGGATGAGTGCATGAATTATAACTTACAGGTAGGCAATAAGTGCATGGCACAGAGTGAAATAATTAGGCAAACAAATATGCTTGGTAACAAGAGCGGAGCACATGGGAATTACAACATGTCTTCATTCAACCAAAAAGTTGGACAAGTGTAGTTTACAAGAAACATTACGACTTGAAATTACTGAAGAATGTGATATGATCCACGTTGCATGGACATGGACACAAATCACATATTTGACACAAGTTGGATATAGCAAAATATTGTGGTAGTATATATAGCAGTTTTACAAGTTGGATATAGCAAAATTTTGTCATAGTATATATAGAAATTTTGTTCTAATGTTCTAGGGAAAATGGAAAATAGAAGCCCGCACCTTGATCACGAAGGCAAAGAGACGCACAAGTGGCAGTTGCAGCATTTTGGAGTTGGTGAGATCCAAGCATTGAGAGTTTTACATCAAACAATTCAATGAACTGCATAATTTGATATAAAGTTCATAGTTCATATAACAACCAAATATATTAATGAACATTAGACATATAAGAAAGCAAAGCATTAAACTACTTCATGAAGTCCAGGAAATTGTGTACCTGTTGAAAGTCTTCAATTTGAATTACTATATCACAAGATTGGTAACGCTTGCCATATAAATCGCTCAAGCCCTTTATTGCACTTCTATTTCCAGGATCACATGCAGATACTACAGTCGAAGACATAGAACATGCTTTATCACGAAGAATATGCTCAATATGTGGAAGGAATGGCCCACCTAGCACCACCTGAAAAGATTAACCAATAAGAAGAGCCAAGTTTGAGCACCAAGCACTGAAAAATGGGAATATGAGTCCAGTACAGACATAAGATGAAGGCCAGCCGAACTGAGTGATGTGAAGGTTATTTCATTCCAATCAGCATGACAAACATAAAATGAAAGATACATGCTATGCTACTAATGAATTTTTTTTAACCTGTCATGCAACAAATTTAATGAATGCAATTACTCAAGTCTGTTATATGTAGATTAGAGATCTCAAACAAGATTACCCCGATGATCAAGCAAAGGGCTGCATTTCTTTTTTCTTAATGCAGTGAATTCATCCATACTGATAGTTTATGTTTTCTAAGATTAGCTCCAAAGAGCATTTGTTTCGGAGAATGTACTGAAAAGAAAACAAAAAAAAAAAAAATACTGATATGGCATTTTTCATCATCAATTATTGATGGGATGAAGGAAATCAGTAAACATGAGTGTATTCGTGGAGAAAAGTTTCCTGATTTTAAGCTTTTCACCATTTTTCTTTACAATGGAAAGTGTAGTTATCTTCCCATTCACTTTAAGTAACACCACATATTGGGACCAGCACCCTACAACCACCACCACTACCAACCGCAAAGACCACTAAAAGCATGCACTGCCTCCAAGGGTACTTATAAGTGATCCGAGCGGAGCTGTATAATAGGTTTATCAAGCTCAGTTTTCTTTTTAAAAAATTAACAAAAATAATAAATAGCAAAATAATAAATATTTTAAAATATTAAGCTTGACTTGTCTATTTCTTGAGCCAAGGACATTTGATTTTGATCATAATCCTAGAGCCATAATAGCTTATCAAGTCAAGTTCTGAGATCATTAAAGTAATAAACTTCAAAATGTGAACAGGCTTGCATCACTTATCTCATGAGCCAATCTCAAGAAAATGTGTAGCCATCAATTGTTAGTAACTTGGTTTGTTTACAACCTACTCCTACTGCTAACTACACCTTACACAGCACTACTCCCACAAAACCACCAAAGATACCAACACTGTTTTCACAGTATCACATTACAGTGGTACCCCAACCCCACCACCCACCAACTAGCAATGCATACTCTTCATATATCTAACCAACCAATATCAAATCTTTCAATCTAATGATGGGACTGTTTGGTGCAGTTTATTATAAGTTAAAAACTGATAATTAGAAAGCAGAAGCCAAAAACAGTCCTCCCCCAACTTCCAGATAATCAACTCATTAAAGCTATTTCTGCCTAATAAGCTATAGCCAGAAGTTGCATCTAACAGTCTTGCACAGACACCCAAATTAAAATAAGCAATGAGCTCATCTGGTCAACATGATGGCCATCTAAGGCCATCATGTCATCATATCACATTGGGTCAGCTGCATAAAGATAACGGGAAAGCACCACTTATGCATTAGCTAATAATAGTTATGCTATACAGTCTACACTCCATAGGTACTTGTCAAAAAATAAAAACAGAGAAGTTACTCATGCAACTAAGTACTACATGGGCAACTGCCGACAGCAATAAGCCCTTTACAACCCAAGTTGGCCAACAGGGATCTAATACAACTAGGTTATATTTACATTCTCCTTATGCAACTAGAGATTAGCCCAGATAAGATAAGTCCAGCATAATTGCTGGACATTCAACCTTAGACCCCATTTGGGGTGAGCTAAATAAGCTATCTTTTTGACTTATTTTGGCTAAATAATCAAAAAAGTCAAAAGCATGTTTATCATCAACTAAAAAAGGCTAAAAAGCCACTAAATTTTTGCACTCACAAAAAAACAACTTTTTTGAGCAACTTTCCAACATGTCAATAAAAGAGCCAATGCCAAACTACTTCAAAATGGAAGAAAAAAAAAAAAAAAAATCTTGACTTCTAGTGTTGCACACAGAAAATTCAACAACTAATTTTGCAATATGCGCTACCAAAATCAGCCAGTAAAAATTACCAATAATATAAGGGGTCTACAAACACATTGACTGACTTAGTAACAGGCATTAGTAGCCATAATAGCAATCAAGCAACCGTATATGAATTAGGTGTCTGACAGAACAAATGTTAAACATATGTTCCAGATCTCCAATAGGCCATAACCAAGTTGCTCTATATACACTAATGTGGATGTAGCATGCAAAGAATGGTATATTGGAACCAAAGTTGCAAAACAGGAGAACTGAAGACCAAATGCAACTAGAATGTGAGTTACAATAATTAGTCAATTGAAGCGGACACAAAAAAGTAGTAGGAATATGTAGGGAGAACCACCTAACTGGACGGCCATGTTTAATTATTCCTGATTTTGCTATCGCAATGCTTTCCAAAGAACCCCCAAGTGCAGCCAGATGTTCGGCACCAACCGTAGTTATGACTGAAACAGCAAGCCCAGAGCTAGAAATAATGTTTGTAGCATCCCGTGCCCCACCCAATCCAGCCTGTTCAATTGGAAAAAAACAATATTAGTCAAAGTCTGCCTCACTTTCACTATTTATGCACATGAAAAGAGAAAAATAAAAACCAATTTTAATTTAACAGAAGAAACACCACAGGCCAACCCCAAGTTGTCGAGATTTACATTTTGCTGCTTACAGAAATGGTGCATTACACTCAGAAGAGTCATGTAAGAAAGACAAGTTGCTTTAAAGATGTATAGCGAAAGACGTTAACCTCAATAACTGCAATATCAACTTTCTCTTGAGCAAATAAGCTGAATGCTATAGCAGTGAAAACCTGGAATTCAATTACAAGTGCAAAAGAAATTAAACAAAATGGAAGCAATTATGCAATAGGGTTAACACTACACTAGGTCTAGATTATTACACACAGAGGGCATGTTTGATTGGGTGGATTAGAGCATGGGATTGGGATTATCAATCCATGAGCCCAATTATCCTATGTTTGTTTTAACATTTTGGTTTAGAATTATTAATCCAATGGATAATTAATCCAACAAATTTGTAGGATTATTAATAATTGGGTAGGGGTGGGATTATTAATCCAATGGATATTAATCCAATTGGATAGTAAATACTACACTAATTTAATAGGATTATTAATACATCACTATCAATCTTGTGAATCAAACATGACCAGAAAGTATTAAAAAAAAAAAAAAAAAAAAAAAAAAAAAAAAAAAAGAGGATAATTTGCAAAAGCGGAGAATGTCAAAATCACTGACAGAAACTTGAAAATGTCAAAACCACTGGCAAAATGCATGATTGAATGGGCTATTGAAATATATTATCCAAGGATGAAATTAAAGTCATGAACTATGGAATAGAAAGAAAAGTGAAATAAGGGTAGACTCGCATAATGGCCAAGTTATAGTTACAATTCTGAATCACGAGAAATTTGGAAAAGAAAAGGAGTGGCACTGAAAACAGGGATGGTCAACTTAATCAAGATAAAACTTCAACCAGGGCTTTGAGGAAATCATAACTAATTGCCTCACAACTGATTACCTCAATGGATATATTAGGAAGCTCTCTTGGTCATTAAGAAAATCCAATTATTTCATTAGGAAGCTCTCTTGCCTCAATGAAATAACTAATCCATTAATAAGAAAATCCAATTATTTTCACTTGCTTGTCACTAACATATAAATTATGTTGCATGGGTACACCAGTTGATACCTCAAAATGACTGAGACACCCATTTTCAAGTTCCATGGCCTGGTCAAGGTCATTTTTAATCCTTTGGAACAGAGAATTCAATGCCTTCACTGCAACTGGCTCACTAGATCTTCCCACCAATATACGTTCCCTGATAGTCTGAATATGTGGGCTGCTCAAAGAAAATGAAGCCTGTCATCATAAAGATATAAAACAAAAATTTATTTTCCTTGAGGCAACAAAAGGCTAGAGGTTCGCATGTTTCAATGAAAATTTTTAGAAAACCAGAGCGCACAGAATAGTAAAGAGAGCATACCTAGTATAACAACCAACAGAATAACCTTCTGCTCGTAAAATATTGGAGAGGAATGCAGCAGTTGATCCTTTTCCTTTAGTCCCAGCAATGTGAACGGCCTGTAATTCACAGTTGAAGCAAGTTACCAATACCCAACAAAGCAAGTGGACTCAAGTAAAACCAAATGAACTCATATCAGATACCAGTAAGTTCAAAACCCACACTTCCAAACTAAACAACACCCAGATGATGAATGATTCACTACCAGCTTTAGCAAGAGAAAAAAAAAGCCCCAACAATTTGTCATCCTCACGCACCCTGAGGTGCTTCTTCAGACAAATTGAATTTGTAAAACACAAATTGTTCGTCTCAAAAATAGTCCAATGAAAAGTCCCAGAAAAATTAACAACAATGAACCACATCACACTGACCTTGAATCCACACCATACACCTCACCTCACTTTCCGGTACATTTTGGGTAAAACTCCTAGGTAGATAGCATTTCAAATTACCCAACTTTAGTTGCTGGGGGATAAACTCAAAAAAGGCTCTCAATTTAATGTAAAATACTTGAACTTAGACTGAGACATATTGTTATAGACTTAAAAATCTGATTTCTTCCCTTTTGCTGCATTTTCTCATCAACCAAACATAATAGAAAAACAAAGAACACAACTTCAGAAGACAAAAAACTACAATAGTTTCATACAATATTGCTGCCTGACTTAAAACATAAAATTCATCTTTCTTACGTGTTGTCCATGTAAGAGGAGCTAATTTGAGTCCGCTAAATTAATTAGGCCCAATAGCCCAAGATTAGTGGACCCGAATTTATCGCAAGTCCAAGATTGGTGGGCTCGGATTAATCACCATCAAACGGGCCGAATCGCTCTAAGCCTCGAAAGGGTTCGGATCCACGAACTTAAAGACTTACTCGGGCTCGGACTTGAAACGGTTTGGATCCACGAACCTAGAGATCCAAAGCACTTGGCTTCGAACGGATTCAAACACAATCTAGAAGTCGCTCCGTTAATGAGTCCCATAACACTTGCGGGCTCGGAGCTTTTCGAGATCTACGCACCAGAACAATGGGCATAATAGAATTCGAACAAAGGATCCGATCCCGAGGATGGTGAGTGGAGATAAATTCACTCTTCGGTTAAACTAGCCTATACCCAGGTCGAGGTGACACGACCCCGGGGGGTCCATGAGACTCGGCATTATTTAGCGGTAAGGAGTCTTCTAGGACTATCTCGGCCTTTTGGGATGAGTGGGGATCATTGATTAGGTGTGGCTAAGAAGAAAGGTTCGCCAAGAGGTTGATCTCCTCTTCGGGGGTTTTTCTCATCCTCGGAGAGGTCACCTCTTCGGACAAGGTAGTTAAAGAGAATATTCCCCATATGCCATGCGCACATGGGGTCCATCTTACATCATGAGGTGCCTATAAATAGCACCCACCTATAGCTTTACAAGGGATGGATTTTGAAGAGATAACTATTGGGAAAGAACTAATTTCCCTTCTCCATTATCAACCTTGAGAGTGAAAGTGGGAGATCCATGGGAGAGCCTTGCCATTATTCTCTCTCTAACTATTTTGCATTTTTCTTCATCCAATCTCTTATCTCCATCATCTCTTCGCTTTTGTGTTCTTAGTAGAGTCTATTGAAGAATCTAAGCCTCTCATAATCTTCTAGAGAATTTTTCTTCAAGGATTTTCCAACGACGTTCTTGAACCCTCTCATACACTCCACAACCAAACGGAGCTGAAGAAAATAGTGAAATTTACAGTTGAACTTAGCAAAGACATATTGTTCTAGACTCAAAATTTTGATTTCTACCCTTTTACTGCATTTTCTCAGCAACCAAACATTATAGAAAAACAAGACAACACAACTACAATAGTTTCATACAATAATGCTGCCTGACTTACAACATAAGATTCACTTTCTTACATTTTCTTCACAACCAAACAGAACTGAAATAAATAGGGCATTGGAAGATATAAAAAATCAAACCTTGAACTTAGATTGGGGGTTTCCAAGTAGTTCCATCAATCGTCTCATCCTTGAGAGATCGAATCCATCTTTCGAATCCGTACCTGCGCCTTTGGGGACGCCGGACTTCTCGTAATTCTTCAGATTGTCCAAGTATTCCATGAAATCCTTCAATTCTGAGTCATCCGAGATTGCAGAGAAGCATCGATAGAATCTTAGCTTGCTTAGGACTGTACCAGTTGCGGAGATGGGGGTTTCTCTACAGGTGAAGAATGGGCGTCGACTGAGAACCCTGAAAATTTTCATTTTCTTTCTCTTTTTCTTGGGAAAATATAGTCGTATATTTATGGAGCAAAGTGGCAAGGCCTTCTATCCACGTTTTTTGAGATAGGGTTTCTCTCTCTATGACTCTGAGGGGAAAAAGATAGACAGAGAGAGAGAGAGGAAAAGATAATGATGGAAGTTGCGAGGGTTTCAATGGTGGCTGGCGGCGGCACTGATCACTCTCATCTTCGCCATCTTTCTCCCTACTGCAACAGCCCAATCTGCCACTCCGGCTCTCGCGCCCACCCGATGTATGCTTTTAAGGGTTGATTTATTTTAATTAATCGTTTTGGGTTTTTATGAAAATAAATAAATAAATAAAATAAAAAGATTATGATTTAAATATATTATTTTATTTTATTATTTTTTTAATATATTTCTGAATGCTATATTTGCATAAGAAATTAGGGGGTAAATTGTTATGAAATATAAACCTCAGGGGGCAAATTGTTATGAAAATACAAACCTCAGGGGGCGGGATGTAATTTCTGAAACCCCAGGAAGGTATCTGTAATTTAGCCAAACCTCGAGGGGTGTATATGTAATTTGCCCAATTAGTTACAACTATCTTCACAAACGAAGCTTGAGTAATGTAACAACTTTAAATAACTTTTTTCTTTTTATTTTTTTACTAATTTTTGGCTTCCCAAAAAAGGTTTAAATCAATAAAATATAAATTTTTATTTTTATATATATGTATATATATTATGGGCTATTTTGAAAAGATAAGTGAAAAAAAAAAAAAAAGAAGCTGGCTTTTTGACTATTTCCAAAAAGTAAAAAATTAGTTTGGCCTATTTTGAAAAGATGATAAAAAATGACTTTTTGGCTTTACACTGTGTTTGGGAACCTAGGAGAGAAAAGAAAAGAAATGATTAGTTAAGTAATAAGAGAAAATAAATGAAATGAAATAATTGTAATTTCTCTCATTTTTGTTTGGATAAGGAAGAAATAAAAGAAATGAAATAATTATGATTTCTCTCATTCTTGTTTGGTTAGATTTCATTAAGAGAAAAGAAAAGAAATTATTTTATGTTATATTATCAAAATAACCTTTTATATTTTCAATCATTTTATTTCTTTTATTTTTATATGAACAAAATTGGTATTATGAAAATAGTGATTTCTTTTCTCTCCCAATCTCTCCACTTTTGGGAAGATTGAAAATGAGACTTATAAGATAAATGAGTTTCTCTCAATTTCTTCTTATTTCTCTCCACTTAAGTTATTCAAACAAGTAAGAGAAATGCATATCTCTTCATTTCTTTTCTTTTCTTTCCAAATCACTCAATCCAAACATAGCGTTAAGCTTTTGACTTTTTTAGGCAAATGATTTGAAAAATTGATAAAAAGTTACTTTTAGCTTTTTTGTTTAATATTTGTTTATGATGTCAAATCACAATAAAATGACCAAACTACCCCTATTCAATTTAAAATATTTACAACTTCACCCATGTAATACATTTTAACCCATGAGGGGTAGAATTGTAATTTCACCAATGGCTAAAAACTAACTTTCCAAATGAAAAAAAAATACAAAAAAGTCAACTTTTGACTTTTGCTACAAACCTAAAAAAGTGGCTAAAAGCCAAGTTCCCAAAATACCCTTTTATTTGAGCACAAAATTATTTGGCAAATTGAAAATAAGCCAACTTTCAAAATTATGAAAATACTATGTAGGAAAGAGAACTAGGATAAAGTTGTAATTTCACATAATTTCATGAGGGTAATATGGTCAATCTATCTCTTTCTCTAATGATGTAACAACATAAAAAAAATAATTTTGAAAAAAAAACAAAAAACAATTTTTTTCCATCTTTCCAAATGATTTTAGACTTAAGCCAAAAAGCAAGAAAATAAGCAAAACATTTTCATCTTCCCAAAATAGTCTTATTTGTGAAAATTGTGAAAATGTACTTTATTTGAGTTTTTTCATATTTTTTTTATTTTTTGTAATTCTTTTTATTATTTTATACAATTTTTAATTTTTAGATAAATATAATTTAGTTACATTTAAAAAGGTATAATATTTGTGAAAAATAATTTTAGAATTTTTATCATATATAAAAAATAATAAAAAATTAAAATTCAATATATTTTCATATTTTTTTGTATTTAATAATTTTTTTTTAAAACTTTTCGTACAAATTTTATATACTTTTTAACTATATCAAGATTACATAGATTTAAAAAGGTTAAAAAAATAATTTACTAAAACTACTAAAAATGTGAATTAAAAAATTAAAAAACTTTTTAAAAAATTCCAAACCAATCAAAATTATTTTGAAATTAAAAATCTTGGGTACGAGTACTAACCTTTTCATAAATTAAAATGTCATTCCATTCATAATTTTATGTTGCCAAGGAAGTCTATGATTATAAAACAATGCACATAAATAATTTAATTAAAGTTATTATTAGAGGTGCATCTCGAGCGGGTTCGCTCGGGCTGGAGGGTTGTCCAGGCCTAGCTCGAATTGTGCTTGGCAATGCCCAAACTCACCCAAGCCCGACCATCAACCCAAGCTTAGCTGCCCAAACTCAAACCGAACTTCATAATATGAACTTGGGTTAGCCTGAATTACCTAAATTTCACAAGAAATATAATGATACTACAACAATAAGACCTTTTTTATCCTTTCATATTGACAGAAGAAATTAGGAAAAAAACTTAAGTTAAACATGTTCTGTATAGATGTATACCCTGATTAAGTATTGACCACCACAATCCAATAAGCAGTTAATTTCATCATTATTCAAACTTTCGCAAATGTAGCAGTAGAATGCATTCAAATCTGAAATAGAGGACTGGCAATGGTGCATTTCAGTGGATCTGAACCATAGCTCAAAATGATTAGCATCTTCATGATTAAACTATTACAATTCATGGATGAAGGCTAGGATAAACATTCTGTAATCAATATACAAGTTAGACTAGTAAAATATTAATCAAAATACAAGAGTATAACTACATTGTTTAATTGGAATCCTTAAGAGCAGGAACATCTACACAGATGGAATCCTTCCCTGATTAAACTTCGTGTTCCTTGTTCCTCTCTCCGCCGTTCTTCAACTCTTTGAGGAAGAATGAGAGTATGAGACATAGAGTGGGAAGAAAAGTATAGGTAGGGTTTAGTCTTTACTTTTAATCTAATGGTCTAAATATAAGACTCTAATCTAAGAGCCAAAGCCCAGCAAAAAAATAAAATAAAATAAAATCTAAGGGCCACCTATTTATACATATGTTATATAACTTTTATAATATATAAAATGCGACTCGGATTCAGGTTGCTTGGGTTACACACAGCCTTTGCCTAGGCCCGGTCCAAATTGCAATTCGAGCATCAAAATTTTGCCTAGGCCCGCCTAGATTACAATATATTGTTGTCCAAACCCTCAAAAAACTCAAGCTGGGCACAAGTTGCTCGAGTTGAGCCCGTCTGAATTGCACCCCTAATTACTATACCTATTTATTTAAGTAACATTTGTATAGAAGGATTAAAATACTTAATTACAATTTTTTTTTTCTAATTTAACCTTTATTTTAATATTAAAGTGAGTATTTAGTATTCGTTTGACAACTTAGGTTGTGTTTGGTAGAGTTTTGTAAATATGATTTGAGAGCATGAGTTGTATTTTGAGTTTGTGAGTTGTGAAATTATTATTTGAGTATAGAAAATTTGTTTGGTTATGGTTTTTGAAGAGAGTGTTGAATTAAGTTTTGAATTGAGTGTGGAATTGAGTTTTGAAAGTTTGATTTGACATGTGAAGTAAGAAAAATTGTTTGATTATGAGTTTTGAAAAGAGTTTTCAAAACTTAATTCAAATTGTTATAACTCATAACAAAACACACTACTTTCACACTATTGAAAATTCTGATCAACACTCATAATCAAACTCTTTTTAAAATTCAATTAATTTTTTTTTATTATTAACAGAAAATAACATTAATTAATTTTTTAATTGAAAATACTACAAAGGAAATAATTTTTTTTTCAAAATAAATATTCAAAAAATTTAAATAATTTAAAATGTTAATATTTTAAATTTAAAAACAACTCTATACTCAAATCGTAACCAAACACATAAAACAAAACTCAATTAAGAAAATATTTTTAAAACTCATAACTAAACACATAACTCGAAACTCCATACTACTTTCACAACTCTACACTCAAATCGTAACCAAATACATAACAAAAAAATTAAAATATTTAAAAATATTTTTATAAAATAGAGTTTGAATTTATTTTTATAAAATATTATAAAATTTAAAAAATTAAAATCGTAATATTTTGAAATTAAAATATTTAAAAATATTCAAAAAATTAAAAAAAATCGTAACATATTTAAATATTTAAAATGTTAACAAAATTAAATTATTGATTTGAATTGAGTTTTGAAAAGAGTTTTGAGTTATGTGTTTGGTTATGAATTTTGAAAAGTAATGATTATGTTTTGAATTGAGTTTTGAGAAATAGGTGTAGAATTACGATTTGAAAACTCAAAACAAACAATACACTCAAATCAATGGGTGGAACTATAATTTGAAACCCTAACCAAATGGAGCCTTAATTTTTTTAGTAATTTTTTAATTTTTTTTTTTACTTTTTTATGAAAGTGGAAAAAATAGTGTTTAAAATGATTTTTTTAATTGAATAAATAACTGTGAGAAAAAAAAATGATTGATTGATATGCATAATGTGATAATTTGATTAATTTTTTTCAGTTTTTTTTTTGTGTGGTTTTTTTATATATTTTTAACTTAAAAATTGGCTTCCAAACTATGTTATAATTTAGTATAAATATATATATATATATATATATATATATGTATATGTTCGGATTAGCTTACACACATCTTGACTAATCCCAGGACCCACGCAAAACACACCCTCCATGTGGATCGTAGTCCCAATTTGGCAAATGATAGGGTGTTAGCAAGTTACTAAGTTAAATTATAACCAAAGGATCAAAGTGGCTCCATTGACTCAAACCCTAAATCTTCTGACATATTCAATGTGCCAAGGGACAATTATAGAAGTCACAAGGCTAACTCCCATATTATATAGATATTTATAATTTTGCACAACAAAAATTACACTGCATATTTCACAATATATATTTCAAATAATTATATATAATGGAACTAAAATTATAATATATCTATTTGTTATAATTTTATATTTTGATAAAATTAATATTATTCTTTTTATAAATAATTCATATATAAACATATGTATAAATAATGGAGGATTTT